GAAGGCTTGGTTGCTATCATCTCTAAGCATAACTCTAGAAATGAAAACATCTTTGTACCATCTAAAATCACTTAATTTAGGGCATTGGAGATTGCTTAATTGGTCATGGATCCTAGCGGTAGTATTACTAGGGGTACCGATAAAGTGCTCAATTATGGTATAAAGTAGAGTGTTAACTCCATCTTCAATACCGGCTCCTATGCTTTGATCAAAAATAGGGTAACCATCAGGGTTAAGCTTAAGGCCATGGATGATCTCAGACTTAGTTGTTTCTGTTAAATGCTTATCCCACCAAGAATGAAGTGTTCCGGTGAAACCAGTTTCTAACAGAGGAACTATTTCAGACTGGCGTAGGTTATGGTTGGAAATGTACCCCTCCCTCTTCCTCTTCCACGATAGGAGCCACGACCACCACCTTTTCCTCCTTGTTGAACTCCAGAAGTTACTTGGAGAGCTTGTTCATCCACAACATGCCGACTTATTCTTTGTTCATGCACAAGAAGACTACTCTGAAGTTCATCAATGGATAAAGCATCCAAGTCATGCGACTCCTCAATCGAGTAGACAACATAATCATATTTTGAAGTCATAGACCTCAAAATTTTCTCAATGATCACCACATCCTCCATTTTTTCTCCATGAAGCCTTATCTTATTGGCTATTATGAGCGTCCTGCCAAAGTAGTCATTGACAATTTCCCCAACCTTCATATGCAGTACTTCAAACTCCTTTCGAAGTGCCTGCAATTGAGCATGCTTCACACGTGCTGTTCCTTGATACTTTTGCTTCAAGGAATCCCATATATCCTTCGCATTGTCCTTCTTCAAAATCGTTTCCAGGATCGAACAATCAATGGCTTGGAACAGATAGTTCTTGGCCTTCAAGTCTTTCAACTTCTGCTCCTCCAGTGCCTTCTTCTGTGAGTCACTAGAATCAGCTCTTTCTGCTACTGCATCGATCCCTGTCTCCACCAAGTGCCAATATTCCTTGGAACGTAGAAAATTCTCCATAAGCATACTCCAGTGATCATAGTGCCCATCTAACCTTGGAATGGCAGGTTGTACAAAACTATTCTCAGATGTCATGTTCTTGTTCTCTCACACTGGTAACTGTGTCTGCAGGTTTGAGTCAGGCCCCGTGATGGAGCTCTGATACCAAATGTTAGAACTGAACAAGGTTATCGAAAGGCTCTGTGAATACAAAGTATGATTGCACTAGTAAACTCAGGAGAGAATTCTTATTAGACTCAAACACAATAATCTTTGGAACTTATGTTCGATTTTTATTTTGATCCTCAAATTTTAAAAAGGGTAAACTGCCGAATTGCCCCCTAAACTTGTACATAAATATCAATTTACCTCCTGACCTTTTTTTTTAGTAATTAAGGGCTCGAATTAAATTTTATTCTCAATGTTACCCCTGCCGTCTAAATCATCAACATCTCATCCAGTTTGCCGTTAAATATGAGGGCAAATTGGTCATCTAATATGTTAAAAATAATTAAATACTTTTGAATAAAGTAAAATTACATTAAAAAATGGAAAAAAAATATTTTATAAACAAAGGAGTGGGACCCACCCACCCTACCCCCTTCACCTCCGCCTCTCCCCTTCTGCCCTCTCTCTTTCTCTACGACCCAAGACCCAAAATCCCCAACTGGGTTTCACAAGTTAAGATTATTAGTGCACACCCAATTCTTAATAATTTACTTCTTTGCCAATTTGATTGGAGGACCCAGAAGCCTTTCTTTGTTTGGAGGGTATCAATGTGGATCTATGTTGGGCAAAATCTATTGGCTTAACATGGAGCACAAGCCCAGATGACAAGGGTGCCAATCCTTAACCAAACCCATCTCTCTTTACCTTCCAAAACTCCACTAGGATGCCCAGAAACGAGTTCAAGGTCGAAGGAGCAAGAAAGCTTGTCATTGTTGAAGAGATGTGGGATGTGGGTTTTCGCTAAAGTTTTCTCCTTTCTTGGATAGAGCCTAACGATATGTGAAAGAAAGGGTTTGGAAGTCATAGCAAAACTTGGCTGCTATTCGAAGATCTCGGAGCCGCCATGGAAGTCTGATTCTGCTCTTCAATTTGTTGGTGGGGCTGTGATGGGTTCGTCTCTTTTTCTTTGATTACATTGTGAAGCTTCCGACTTTTTGACATAAGGAAACTGAGGGCAGTTGAGCATCAAAAATCAAAGGCAATCGAACTGATCCTTCAGAGATTTGCAGCGATGGTGGGGACGAGGATGATCTCGGGTCTGGGGGTGGGGTCTGAAAGGGGAGGCGGCGACGGCTGTGTGGAGTGGAGGGGCTCTGAAATATATTTTTAATGAGTTAACAGAAAATTTAATGAAATGTTGAGAAATTAGACGGCAAGGGGGAAATTGAGAACAAAATTTAGTTTGAGTCCTTAATTTTTTTTATTAAAAGGTCAAGGAGTAAATTGATAATTGTATACAAGTTTATGAGGCAATTCGGCAGTTTACCCTTTGAAAAATGGCGCATGTATTCCCTTAATTTTACTTTCTCTCGCACTGTTAGCATTGTTGTCATAATCTGTTACATTTTTGTTCAAATTTAAGGGAAAAATGACTTATTATTGCACATATGTTTAGGGGCTTGTTTGGTTTGCAGAATGAATGTTTGAAATTGTTTAGGGTCTTATTGGACAAAATAATGGGAACAAATGTTCTTTCATAGTATAACCATTCGCTAGTATTTCCAAACACTTTCCATTCTAGTATGTAAATCACATTTTTCAAACATCTATTATGCAAACCAAACAATCCCCTAAACATATGTACGAATTTCTTGTGCCATGCAATTTCTACTCCAACCAAAATAAATTCATAATGATTTTTTTATAGACTTATGCGTTCACTGTTATGTAAATATGAAAATGAATTCCTTTACAATTACAAGCACAACGTTCTAATTTTGTGCATTGAAAAAATTAGCAACATAAATTTATCTTTTATAAGAACTTGTGACTAATGAGATTTTCTTTTAGGCTTAATTGCTATAGTGCACCCTGAAACATTGGTCAATTCTCACTTTACCCTCTTAAAGTTAAAGTGACCTACTTTGCCTCCTTGACCAATGTTTGATGTCTTACTTTGCCCCTCACCGTCAAGTTTGTTAAAAATTCTATTAAAAAAGCTAATGTGGCACCAATAGGACCCACTATTTGACTAAACTAAGTGTCAGGTGTGAAGAAAAAAAAATTAAAAATTAAAAATTGTCTTTTAAAAATTATGGATTTAGGGCTTTGACCTCACCCATCCCCCACCAATATTCCTTCTCTTAATAAATTAGGTGTATATGAATATTTAAATATAAGAAATTTTAAAAAATAAAAAAAATAAAAAACCCATCATCCCCAAGCCACCCTTCCCAGATTTCTTCTCCCTCATTCTCCCTCTCTCTCTCTCTCTCTCCTCTCTCTCTCTCTCTCCTCTCTCTCTCTCCCTTTCCTTTCTCTGTGATCTCCCTCTCCCCTCTGTATTTTCTTCTCCCCAACAACCTAAACTACCCCCAGCATCAGTGGCAACCCAGGCCCCACTCCCACCCCTAGCCGAACCCAACCCACCCCTCTCTCTGCAAATTCAAAAACCAACCAATTGAAAGACAAAAAAAAATTCATTGTTTTTGTTGTTTTGTACTCGAAGGCCTACAACCAAATTTGATGGCTTCCGAATTCAGCGAGATGGAGATGGTGGGTTGTAGCTGCTGGAGGTTTGACAGAAAGAGAGGCCAGGGCTCATCTGGGTTGTCGATGACCGTGCGGAGGGTTGGGGCTGCAGGGTTTAAGGGCTAAGGGTGGGAGTGGGGCTTGGGTTGTGGCTGGAGGTGCGGGTGGTCTGAGTTTTATACAGCCCGTGTTTCTAAAATTGGTGTAATAGATTAGGGCCTTAGCATGCACAGAAAGATTAATTGAATCTTTGTTTTGTCTTGCTAAAAGTGGAAGATGTTGGATTGAAGCAGAGATGTGGCAAAGGTTGAAGTTGGTGGGATAACGAATTCAACATAAAATTTCAGGGGTGGAACTTGGGTCTGCGAGAGAGGAAGAGAGAGGAGCAGTCATTGTGGTTGTGGTGATGGCGACTAGGAAGGGATAATGGGGTTGGGGGAGGGGAATTGGGGAATTTTTTTTTTTAAGTATTATTTTTATTTTTAATAGTTAAATTAAGAATTTTAAAAGACAATTTTTAATTTTTAATGTTTTTTCTTCACACATGGCACTTAGTTTAGCCAAATAGTGGGTTCCGTGCCACATCAGCTTTTTTAACGGAATTTTTAACAGACTTAACGGTGATGCCAAAGTGAGACACAAAACATCGATCTAGGGGCAAAGTGGGTCACTTTAACTTTAAGGGGGTAAAGTGAAAATTGACCAATATTTCAGGGGGCACTGTAGCACTTAAGCCTTTCTTTTATGCGACTTTTACATTATAACCCGTGTATCTATTCATTAATATTTTATTCTAGATTCACAACATATCAGCATTGTAGTGTAATTACACTAATATGGTGGGACATATATAATAATATGAATAAATACACGTGTTATAATTGTGAGTAATTGATTGGTTTCATTTATTTTTAAAAAAATTTAAAATTTAAATCAAAATGGTGGGTAATAAAAAGGAAACAAATTGTTTAGTTTAATTTTTCTTGGTTTTTCTTGCAACTGAAATGACCAATTGTAACCAAGGTGGTTGATGTGAGTGGTTCGGCACTCTCATTCCTTAAGAGAGGTCAGGGGTTCAATCCCTGCTCTCGTATGGAGTCACCACTTTGGCCAGCACTTTACCACTTACGGGCCGACCCGGTGTGAGCGGGATTAGTCTGAATTGTGATTAAGGTTTAAAGGTGCCACCCGGGGCCCATCCACCTCGTGGTTCAGACCCAAAAAAAAAAAAAAAAAAGACCAATTGTTGCCTCTCAGATGAATGGCGCGTGTCCGCCCCTGGTTTCACACAAAAAGAAAACCAAAGCCTATATATACACTTATATATACATATACATATAGAAATCCACTTAGTCTCATCAAAATCATTTCTTCAATTCAATCAGATCTCTCTCGCGCTTCGATCAGACACGCTCAAACCAATTAGTAAGTTTACTGCAATCCCTAGAGCCATTGAATTTTCTTAATTTCTTGTTTCTAAATAATTAATAATAATTATTGCCAGCATTTTCTCACTCAGCTCCTCGTCATTGTGCTTGTGGCCTCGAATCTGATTTGTATAATTTTACTATCTTGAGTAATTTTTATTGTTTGGTCCGTTTGGTTTCCAAGACAACGCAGGAAATTGTATGCTTCCAGTTGTAGAAATTCCAGTGTTTATGTTTGAGTAAATCTCCATTTTATGGGCATTTTTTCCTCTGTTTTCTTGCCTACCAAGTGGACTCGAAAGGGCATGTTTTGGTTTCTGCTGCATGATTGGAGTCAAGTTGTAGTTTAGTTATGGCGGTTTGGATATGGTAGATTTGAAATTAGTGGAACAAATGTGGTAGGCTTTTATGGAAATTGAATTGATTGGGTAGTTTTGATGAGTTCTGAGTAGCAAACAAGGGATCCATTAATTAATTAATGTGGTCATCCGTGCATTTATTGTTCTTGGTGATGTGGTGTACGTGAATTCCTTCTAAAACTAGACTATATGTATATGAAATGCTACGGGCAAATTAAGAAAGTTTTGAATGCTGCAATTCCTTGTGAGCAAGTGTGTGATTAGACTCAAATGGGCAGGGGATATGGAATATGTTGGCATGATGAAAATTAAGAAAGAAATGTGTGTGTGTGTGTGTGTGTGTGTGTGTGTGTGTGTGTGTGTGTGTGTGTGTGTGTGTGTGTGTGTGTGTGTGTGTGTGTGTGTGTGTGTGTGTGTGTGTGTGTGTGTGTGTGTGTGTGTGTGTGTGTGTGTGTGTGTGTGTGTGTGTGTGTGTGTGTGTGTGTGTGTGTGTGTGTGTGTGTGTGTGTGTGTGTGTGTGTGTGTGTGTGTGTGTGTGTGTGTGTGTGTGTGTGTGTGTGTGTGTGTGTGTGTGTGTGTGTGTGTGTGTGTGTGTGTGTGTGTGTGTGTGTGTGTGTGTGTGTGTGTGTGTGTGTGTGTGTGTGTGTGTGTGTGTGTGTGTGTGTGTGTGTGTGTGTGTGTGTGTGTGTGTGTGTGTGTGTGTGTGTGTGTGTGTGTGTGTGTGTGTGTGTGTGTGTGTGTGTGTGTGTGTGTGTGTGTGTGTGTGTGTGTGTGGTTGGCATGATGAAAATTAAGAAAGAAATGTGTGTGTGTGTGTGTGTGTGTGTGTGTGTGTGTGTGTGTGCACAAGCGCACCCATGCATGTGGATTTCAAAATGATTGTGTTGTTTGATGATATGGTTGCAGCTGCAAATGGGAATATATCTCAGTGCTCCCAAAACTGATAAGGTCTCAGAAGATGGTGAGAATGACAAACTTCGATATGGGTCATCCTCCATGCAAGGGTGGCGTTCAACCATGGAAGATGCTGTAAGTCTTTATGTCGTTCTTCTTATTCACTTAGATGACGCTCAGAGAGTGCAGCTGAGTAGTTCTTGTTGTTTGGTCTTTGTATTTTCGTAGTGAGCTTTGCATTTCACATGCAATTGTCATACTTAGCATTATTACTTCATGGCATTTGGTTTGTCACTACAGAAGTCCTAGATGAAGGTAATTATCATCTTGTTAAATTGGTTTTCCTGAGAATGGACACATATTGAATATGTAATACAGAAAGTGCACTAAAAGTATTTTAGCATACTAATCTTGCCATAGATCATGTACTATCTTGCCTATTATACACTACTTGACTTTTGACTTTTATTGCAGCATGCTGCTATTCCAGATTTTGACGGTTCAACATCTTTCTTTGCTGTTTATGATGGCCATGGAGGTTAGGTTTCCAAGCTCTATAATTGAATTCTACTTAATGCTATCTTTCTTATCATTTTAAGAAACTTTTTCCATTTATAGTTGGTTTGACTGCCCAAGTTTTTCTGGAAAGGACTCATATATGGTGTAACCAGGCCTGAATAATCTTGAGTTTTATGGAGCTGAATTTGGATATTTGCAAAATAAAATATGCAAAAAATTTCATTGAAGAGTTTATTAATTGAATTGTTTTCATCTTATAGTGCAATTTTTTTTTATAAAACAAATTTATGTCACTTCAAAAACCTCTTGTGCACATAGGTGCAGAAGGTCTGTCGACAATGCTAATTATTATAGAATTTGTGATGGTTGCAATTTCTATTTTAAGCTTTCCTTTATACCTTCTGCTTCTGTTCACTTCAAAAATCTCACCCTGAGATCTGGTTTGGTGTTTGGTTGGTTTTAACTTTTATCACATGGTAAAACAGTTAGCTGTACTCACCATGATTGCAGACCTGCAATCGGCATTTATTTTGTGTTTCAGAAAAACCTCCAAAGTCTACTCGATCTTAATTGAAAATCTATCATTATTTAAATTAATTTAGTGAAATTTTTTTACCAATCAGTTGGCTTTCCTGTGTTATTCAGTAGGTATTGCATTGTGTGATTGGAAGCTAAAGATTAATTTAATGGAAGAAAAAAAAAAAAAAAAAGTTCTGTGGCCATATTATGGTAGGAAAAGGGAAATAGCTGAACGAAATATGAAGGCTACTTTAACGTGCCCAACAAAGTATATTGCTAGATTGTTGGTATGATGAGTTGTATTTATCAGCACTAGGGGTGGGTAGGGGAGTGGCATAGTTTTCAATTGAAGATTTTATGGATTTTACACATGGTGTGCGGCCCAAAATATGACCAAAAAGAAAATAATGCCACATAAGGGAACAATGTGTGCGCAAATTTCCATATTAACACATAAGGTTGACATATAGGGCCTAGTCTTCAAAGTCCTGGAATTTTTATTTTACATATGTCTTGGATTGTGCAGTTACCAAGGTTTTAGTGGTTTGTCTTTTCCTTCCCACCTTTTTGCCCCGCAGCAGAAAGGAAGGGTTAGTTAGAGCAGTTTGTGCTTAATGTTTAAGTTTTATAGGTTGGTACTATCTGGTGAGGTTTTGTCATCACTGGTCCATTGATTTGCAGGTAAAGCAGTGGCAAATTTCTGCGCCAAGTATCTCCACCTACAGGTGCTCAAGGATGAAGCATATCTAGCTGGCGATTTAAGCACTTCTCTACAGAAAGCTTTTCTCAGGTTACTTAATCCCTTTTGTTAGTAATCTTCAATTTAGCAATTTTCAGCGGATGCATCTGTGTTATCAATTTTGCCCAAGAACAAGGCTGCAGAATGGTGTCTTTCTCCTGTAAGTCATATGTTATAAACAGCTTGGGAACTTGAAACTATGAGGATTAGAGTCAACACAACACATTAAACTATGATTTCCTACAAAATCTTCACCAATCACATTAAACTAACCAATTTCACACGAAAACTATGCAAATAGAGATAGATTATATATGCAAAATATGAATCTATCAGCATCTGTGTTATCAATTTTGCCCAAGAACAAGGCTGCAGAATGGTGTCTTTCTCCTGTAAGTCATATGTTATAAACAGCTTGGGAACTTGAAACTAGGTCATTGTTCTGCTACCACTGCCGGCCATTATCATTGCTGCATTGTCTTAATGCGCCTAAGATAAGTAAACTTGCATCAATGCCCATTCATTTAATAGATTTTCACACTGCCGTACCTGCTCATGCCTTTTCTTTAATTATCATTTTATAGGGCGTGGACAGTATGTTATGAAACTTTACAGAAATTGTATTGTCAAATCCAATTATAACATCTCAGTGGACTTTCATTTTGAATTGGTTTTCAAAGTTATACAATTTATGATGGAACAAAATTAGCGGCAGAAATCTGTAGTAGGGGTATCAAAGGGATAATTTAGATAGATGTGATTATGAATGAGATACTCACAATCTTACCTTGCTTCAAATTGATGCAGGATGGATGAGATGATGCGTGGACAAAGAGGCTGGAGAGAATTAGCCGTACTGGGAGATAAGATAGACAAAGTTTCTGGTCTTATAGAAGGGTTCATTTTTTCTCCCAAGAGTGTTGAAGCTAAGAGTGGTGCATTTAATGACCATACTGATCAGTGGTCTTCTGAGGAGGTACTTGTTACACCATCGTTACTTCAGCCGCATTTAACAATGGCACTATGTTTTCCATTTGCTTTGTTAGCCATATCACCAGATGCATCTCACAAAAAGAAGTCTAGGAAAACAGTGAAGATATTCTCTGCCTGCTTTGTATATATTCCATGTGATGTAATACTTAAATATTTGAGCCATAGGAATGAGTTTCTTCGTTTTTTACTTCCTACCCAGATTCAACCCCTTCACAGCCACCTTACACAAATAAAATAACTCATTTCCCTTGCTTACCATGGCATTGCAACCCTGTTTCTTAAATCAGCCTAAATGATCGGTATAAATTCAATCAACGGATTCCCCTTGCCTCATGATCCATTGGGCAAGTGGAAGAAATTGAATGGCTCTTTACATTTCCTATTGCTTTTGTTTCAGAAAGTAAGAATCTAAAATTTTGCATCAGACTTGGTTTCATAGCAGTCCTGCATCTATTTTGATGTTATAATGAATGTTTTAGGAATTTGATTAGTTTACTTTCTGTTTGATATATTTTACTATGTAATCGGATTTTCATGAAGAAAAGCTTTTGGGCTTGAAACCAGGGGCCTCACTCTGATTTTAATGGACCGAATTCTGGAAGCACAGCTTGTGTTGCTGTCATCCGAAACAATCAACTTGTTGTTGCCAATGCTGGTGATTCTCGTTGTGTTATATCCAGGAAGGGTCAGGTATTATATTGTTTTAATGCAATTTTTACCTATGGACTTTTATGTAAGGATTGCATTTTGGGTTAGCTTTGTTCACATTTAAAAAATTGTCTCATTTTCATAAAAAATAAAAAATAAAAAAATTTCTCAGTTATCCCAAAAAGAAGGTGTACAACATCCTTAGAGCACACGACAGAAACCAAAGCCTCCCAAACACAATCAGGGCAATTGGAATGCAGAAGAGGCCAAAGCCCATAGAAAGGACCCAAAATCTAGCCTTATCTCATTAATAGTCCCCACAGTCTACCATTGAACTGTTCCTTTTCCATCCATATCAGCCAAAAAGAATGGTTATGTTCATCTTCTGAGATTTTGATTTCGGTGAATCTTGCATTGACAACCTGCCCCTGACCCCAACTTTTGTGCCAGTTTCTAGGAATATATCAATTGGTTTTCTGCCATTGTGTTGTTTGCTGAGATGCTAATCTTTAACAGGTTTTTTTTCTGCTGAGCTGCTATTGTGATGCCTTATTGAAATTTTAAATGCAGGCATATAATCTGTCTAAAGATCATAAGCCTGACATTGAGAATGAAAAAGAAAGAATTCTGAAGGCTGGTGGATTCATCCAAGTTGGAAGGGTCAATGGAAGTTTGAACTTGGCCAGAGCTATTGGTACAAAAATATTTCCTTACCATGTGAAAGGAGAAACCGAGAAAGAACCTCCTTTTCTTTTATATTTGAATTGCCTGTAGTTTAAAATTATGTTGTTTGCAGGGGATGCAGAATTCAAGCAGAACAAACATTTGCCCGTTGAAAGGCAGATCGTAACTGCCAATCCAGACGTAACTAGTGTATGAGACATTTCATTTTGGAATTAAATGATATAAATTGGGCTGAAATTTTTTAACCATATATAAATGCAATACAACCAATCTTACAAGAAAGAAAATTAAGTCTTGTTTTTCAAGATGAAAAGCCTTTTCTGGGGATTGAAGTTATATTATTTAGATGCTAGTCAGACTTTTGAAGTTTTAAAGGAAGAAAGTGCTGTTTTTGACTTTTTATTTCCTTATAGACTTTTGCTGGCATAAACGAATGCCATTTATCAGATTTGTTTGCAGTTGCACTAATTTTATGTTGTTTAAAGTTTTAAAATTTCCCTTGATGTAGGTTGAGATTTGTGATGATGATGAGTTTCTCATCATAGCTTGTGATGGGATATGGTAAGTTTGTTTCCCTTTTTAATATACTTTCCTATCCGAAAAAATAGGTTTCTGTCAATTACTGTGTATATTTTATCTCCATCTGGTATGTTCTCCAAAGGCTGTAGGGGTAAGACTAGAAAAATTGGAAGGGTGGAAGGAAGGGCTTTATGTGGTGGGTTCTTCTCACAACTTAAGATGGCTGTTACTTAAACAGTTAGCTAGAAATACATCCTGTGGAAGAACCAATTACCATCTCTTTAGAAGCCTGTAAATGCATGGAATATAACAATTACTGGTTAATGTAAGAGTGAAGTTATATATAGTTGACGGTCTGATGACACTTGGCTTTAACTAGTATATATACAAGTGTTGCAAGCTCTCCGACAATATAGTTATGGTTATAAATGTACAAATAACCTTGTTAGCTTCTTATTTTCCAAAATGTTGGAGGAAAGTAATCAAAGTTGAATCTCCTGTGTTCTGTATCTGGATTTAAAAGTTTTCCTTCAAGGGAAGAATCTTTGATGTGAAGGTCTGCTGATTTGAACTTGTCTCCGTTGAACCTGTTACTCGATTATATCATGTGATAGTAAGCCCAAAACTAAATATTATTGAAGAATGCACTCGTAAATTCGTACGTGGTTCTCTGTCAAGATTCCCCCGTAACTTAGTTTCAAAAATTTGTTCTCATGGGAAAAAAAAAGAAGTTAATAATATTGTTTATTATCCATCCAATGCTTATGCGAGAGAAAATATGTGTGAGAGAGAATGGGTGGTAGTAAGGTGAGGTGAGTACTTTCTTTTAGTGCCATTTGGTTTACTGTTTACCTAAGGCAATTCCCGAATGCTCTCATATTCTTGTTTGTCTATGTTGTCAACAATTTACTTGTTATCTGTGTTTGCTTTTTCTCCACCTTCTTTACCTGATTGGTTTCAAGATCTCAACATGCTCCTCAAAGTATTGTTCTTCCAGTTGTTACTTCATGTCATTGACTCCTTGTTAGGTTCTTAGAAAGCACATGTTTGGGAGGTCAAAAGGCTGACAACATTGTTGAACTTGTGTCTCTGTCGTATGATTTTTCTAATGCTGTATTTTCTATTTCTGAAATACAAGTGAAATTAATATGTTCCTACTTTGTTGACACTGATGCACGCTCTCTAGGGACTGCATGTCGAGCCAACAACTTGTGGACTACGTTCGGGAACAATTAAAACATGTAAGTTGACGAGACTTCCCTTATATATGCAAATATATACTGTGAGTAACATAAAATATTCGTATGATAATGTAGGAAAGTAAACTCTCAGTGATTTGTGAGAGAGTGTTTGAAAGGTGCTTGGCACCATCATCTGGTGGAGAGGGCTGTGACAACATGACAATGATCTTGGTTCAGCTTAAGAAACCAGTTACTTCAGCTGCTTCTGTCGGGGACAAGCCTCTCTCGTCTAATCCATCATCTGAGAAGGATAAAAGCTCAGCAAAAGCTAAATAGATTTTCTCATGACTATCGAATGACTGCATTTTCTGCAAGTTAGGGCTTTTGGTGATCTCAGAAAAATCATAAATTTGTTTGGATTAGGAAAGAATTCTCAGGACAGTACGTGTTCACGGTGTTCTGTCAAGTACCGTTGTAGCTTACGAGTTCTGTACATGTGTCTGGGAGTTTGTCTTTTGGGTTCCCTCCAGATTTTGAAGAGCTTTGCCTGCAAATTTTTAAGACTGAACACTTGCTTCAGATGGTAAACTGACCAAGAAAAAAAATATCAAGATTTTTTTTCCTTTTCTCTTCATATTGTTTGTGCCAAGTGTGAACACATACATTGAAAGTTTTGAATTGGATGCATGTCTAACGAACAATACATTACAATATTAGTAAGCTACAATAGTTGTCTCAGAAGTATACAATACATAACTATACATAACTATGTTGATGTCTTCATTGTATTGTCGATGATTATTTAATGAAGTTTCTCTTTGATAAAGAAAAGGTATATTATTGATAAAAAAAATTGGTATATTTAATTATTCGGCCCCAAAATAGCCCTACGCATTTCTCGTTAAAATAATAAATTGAAGTGTTGAATCCTCTAATGTTTTATGTTAGATATGTGTTTTATAGTACGTATGTATAATACGTGTATTGAATCCTCTAAAGTATTTGTATAATATGTCTTTTATACGGTAAAATATAGAATGGGAAAAGTACGATTAAAATACGTACATGTTTGATGTGGTAAAATTTTGGCAAGATACAACTGAAAAGTTCAGCCACTATATAATATTTAATATAATTTTAAAAATAGGGATATAATACGTAAATTTTATTTGTATTATTCAAACAATTTGTAAAAAAACACAAGTATTAAATGTAAAAATACGTACATATGTGTATAATAAGTGTAGATCCGTCCTTGGGCATACCGTAATTAATCGGGATAATAAAACAGTGCTGATGGGTATAATTTATATTATATATTTAACTCCATTCTTAGTATATTTTGGTTAATATTTTGGAAGAATTTTGATACTTTGAATTATATTTCCAATATAGGACTTTCGACTTCCTCTGGAGCAAAACATAATCAAATGGACGAATTTTGGAGTAATTCCAATTGGAGGATGTTCGTGAGTCACGTAGCTTGATTGTATCAAAATTTCAGATTTTTCTACCAAGTGGTTATTTTCTGGAAATAAAATAAATGAGCAGTGCACGGTGCTGGAATATCGACGTTTTGGGTTTTTATTGCATTTTTGGAGCCCAAGATGTCCTTAGATGGGTTCGTGGCCTTCTGGAGATTTGTTCAAAATGTTTTTATCTTTAAAACAAGCTATCTTGGGCCTGATTTGGAGGAGATTTGAGCCCAAAACGTGGCTGGGCAGATTGTGGGCAGATTCTCCTAATCCATTTAATACTCGTGTAAAAAACACACGAGTATTAAATGTGAAAATACGTATATATGTGTATAATAAGTGTAGATTCGTTCTTGGGCATACCGTAATTAACTGGGATAATAAAACAGTTCTATCTTTTGTTTGATGTTTTTTCAATAAAATTTCGTTTCTTCACCCATAAATAAATAAATAAATCTTAAATCCAAGCACATGCACGGTGCTTGTTTATTATTCAAACCGCGTTGAAACTAATTTTATTACAATAATTCCTAAAATAATAAAAATAATAAATAAATATAAAAACATGTTACTCGTGCAAAGTATGGAATAAAATAATTAATTTACTATGTGTACGGTGTGGACCTTTCCAGCATCCCTAAATTGAAGGGCACAAAGATTTATTTAACTCGTGGCATGCTTCATGGGAGCCACGTGTCAGTCTTCAAACATCTTATTATCCACTCATTTTAAAAAGGGAGCCCCCCATTTGTATAAATAAAATAATAAAAACTCTGCATTACCCAACCCCCAGTATGTTTCGTGTTACCGCTTTTTTTCAGGAAATTGAAAAACCAAAATCTGTTTTTTCCTTATTTTACGAGCCACGCAGCACGCCTTTATAATCGCCACTTAAATGTTACCACGTGTCCTCCTGCCACGTAACTTTATATCCATACCCCTGTCTCTTTCTCAATTCTCCTTCTCGAGAAATTATAGAATAGTACGGTATCACCACGTCAGCTGGTGATACTCCCATTCAAAATCTGCCACATGTCTATTTTATTTTTAAAAGTTAAAAACTAATTACAGCTGGATATGAAATTATACTTTTACCCTTTCAAATAAAATTTTAAAAAAAAATAAAAAAAGAACGAGTTACCCAAACTATCTCCCTCTGCTGCCGCACCCTTCTCTTTCACTTTCTCTCTCTCTCTCTTCTTCCCTCCATCTCTCCATCCTCTCTCGATAACATATGAGAAAGCTTTAGACTTTTCAATTGAATATGACCTGGCCAAAAGCTGACTTGGGATCAATTGGAATATGCAGATCTCATTCTTCTAGATGAGAGAGAGAAACTGAGAGAGCGGGGGCGATGGCCAGGGGAGGCAAAGCTGAGTGCAGTGGTTGGTGTACAATATTCTAGTTTTTTAATTTTTTTTATTCTTTTTATTTTGAGGGAGATGAATAAATGGGCAAAATTTCGATGTGGAAATAAACAACAAATGTAAGATAAAGTAGTTGCTGGTACAGTAGAGAGAGATGGAGGATTAGAAACTCAGAGAGAGGGGACGGCGAGCAGGACTGGTAATTTCAGTCGGGTGGGAGTGGTGCAATCTTCTTCTTTGTGGTTTTTCTTTTATTAATTTTATTGTGAAGGGTAAAATTGGATGTGAAAGTCCAGTTGTATAAAATACTGTAGTTTTCTTTAAAAAGAGACAGGTGGCAGATTTTGAGTGGGAGTATCACTATCTGACGTGGTGATACTGTACCATTCTATAATTTCTCCTCGTTCTCCCCCATGGGTATCAGTTTTTTACCAGCAAGGACAAAATGCAGAGACAATTATTCAGTCACGCCACCCAGTTTAGTTTAGTTTAGTCTTTTAGACATTTGGAAAATAAAAATACGTTTTAAATTTCAGTTTTTGGTTTTAATGACAAATTTGTATATTTTTTACGAACTTAAGATGTGGCGGATAGAGATGTCGTACCAACTTAGTAATGCGAAATTGCTGAGTCGACGTGAAGGTGATATAAAAAAAAGTAATGAAATCAAAAGGTTGGTATATATCAATCCTATAAGTTCATGAACCAACTCTACATATTGAATTCAATAGGTGGGCAACTTCAAAAAAGAAATTTCACCCAAAATGCATTGAAAAATTGTAATTGAATGCAATGTTCTATCGCATATTTTGTATTTTAGTGAAATTAAATTTTCCTTCATGAGTTTGGTAGGATTTAGATTTTTATCATTCATTGAATTGTTGCTAAAACCTCAGTTTTTGAATTAAACTCATAAATAATCGAGAATAGAATAGAATAAATTATTTTTTATAAAATAAAAATATCGGTATTTGATGAGTTGTTGCAAAGTTGATGATGACTTGATTGTGAGAGATTAGAGATGCACATGCACCCCATTATTATGGTTAAAAAACAAGGTTAAGGGGATGCAAGAAGAACAAAAAGTAGGTCAATGACTTCAGCCTAAGAATTATAAAAATCAAATCAGAAAAAGCTGGCCAATGAGCTCAGCTTAAGAATTATAAAACTAAAGGGCATCCATCAATAATAAATTGAGAAGTTGGATTTCTAAAACTAAATTTAATGGCCATTGGTAATGTGTGTCAAACAAGGGAATTTTTAGATATTATATATATATATATTTTTCTTATGCGGACATCCGTACGTTATTATCGTGCGGACGTTGTGTATTTTGTACTACCTCTCTCTGCTTTCTTGCCTGTTTATAATAGGATCCGCACGATAATAACGTGCGAACATTCGAATAAGAGAATATATATATATATATATATATATATATATATTCTTCTTTAATATAAAGATATTCATAAAGAAGTACAAAGATATGTTTTTTATGAAATAAATATCAATTACAATAAAACTAAATAAACGGCTAAGTAACCAAAATTCTAACTAAATAAGAAACAACATAGTCTAATTAAAACGACCACAGAGAACGAAGATGAATAGACTTTAACATAAATCTACTCCTTAAAACAATAGAAAGAGTCTCTTTACCAACGAACTTTAACAAGTCGTCCTTATATATATATGTTTTAGTAGTCCAAAAAAAGTTGGAAAATACAATAGACAAAGAAAATTTGATAACGACCTGTTCTTTGTGTTGGAATTGGAGAGTAGATAATGACCTAATTTTGAGGAGCAACCATTATCATAATCGAAAATAAGATTAGGATGTAAGAAAATAATAATAATTTAATTTTAAAAAAAAGGTCAATGACTCAGCCTAACGAACGAAATAAAAAATCTATGAGGGAAAAAGTTGAATTAGTCAATTAGATATGTGAGAAAAAAAATGCGAAAAAAAATAAAAAAGGGGTAGCCAAAGAAGAAAAACTCAAAAAATGCGAAAAAAAATAAAAAAGGGGTAGCCAAAGAAGAAAAACTCAAAAAACGGTAGAGAGAATATCCTCCAATATAAACCCTAAATTCCACAACAGAAGTCTCCAAATATGACTAGGACCAAGTGAGAGCAAACCAGATAAGAATTGCAATCTCTCTCTCTCTCTCTCCTCTCTCCTCTCTCCTCTCTCCTCTTTCCCTTTTACCCTAATCCACAAAATAAGACAATACACGTCACCATGGAAACGGACCCAATGGATAAGGACCTCCCAAGCTCACACCTCTCCACCTCACAAGCAAACTTCCCTCTATAAATATAGGTTCTTTCCTATTTAAAAAGTCCATTCTATGAATCTCCCTCTCTCTCTCTTAATTATTATATTCAACAAATTTTCAATCATTGAGTCTTTCAAAACCCGTTAAAACCACTTTGCCGTGCCCATTGATCCATTCAAAACAGCGTTGTTGTTTTTCTTCATATATATATAACTTGGGTTCTTCTTTTTAAAGCCAGAGGTTTGTTGGGTTTTTGAGTTTGATTTCTGGGTTTTGCAATGGCTGCTGTGGCTGCTGGTGTTATTGGGGGTAATGGGTCTTCTTGGAATCTGTTTAAGGACAAGCCGAGGAAGAAGAAGACGGTGAATAGGGTTATGGTGTCTTGTGTTTATTCTTCTGTCATGGATCCTTACCGGACTTTGAAGATCCAACCTGGTGCCTCTGAATCTGAGGTCAGGAAGGCTTTCAGACAACTTGCCTTGAAGGTTTGTTTACATCTTATTTAATCTCCG